CATTGTCTGCCTGTATGGCTCCAATCCAATGCCATCCAAAATGTTTGACCAGTGCAGCCAAAGCTTTTGCCTGGAAATAGTCGCTGGGGATTGTTCTAAAAAATGTAGGATATTTAGTTCTGTCACTCAGACAAGCACACGTTGAGAAGTAGCTGATCTATAAAAGAGAAAAGAACACTGAAACAGTGCACATGCAATGATGCCAAAACATCAAATATCACTTAGCATCATAAAACATACAACTTTATCTCTTACTATTGGCATATGAAATGGTCCAAGAATTCCAGCAGCAGCTATTGACTGAGATGATCCAGACTCTGCTATGAGGGCAGATATAGCTGGAGGGCAATGAGAAGTCGCACTTGCCTCCTCTGTTCTACTAGCCAGCGTTAGAGCAGCACGTAAAGTATTTGTAGGAGATGCACAAGAGTTAAGGATCCTATATCCAAGAGATATGTTTGGAAGCAGAGCAGGATCGTTGTTGATTTCTTCAATGGCAAATAACATTGCCTGTGTCCATCGATAAATTCGCAGATCAAATCTAAAGACATTTTAGTGATTGATTCAAGTCATAAAGTAACCCAGCTATTGCTTCCCATGTATGTAAAGTACAATGTCAAGAATGAAAACACAAATAAACATACATGCATGACAAATGAAAAAGCCACTTGTGGTAAATCATACCCTTCACACTGCACTTTAGGTGGCTCCTTGTCAAATGTATAAGTGCTGAGTATCTCTTTGTTTAAAACTGGGAAGATTCCTCCGATCATTATGTCACCTTCCTTAAACAAACTTGGCATATCAAACCTGCCTAACAATTCACAGCCAGATACTGTGTTCGTGCTGAGAACACACAGAAATAGGTGGATACCTCTTTGCATGTTTGCACTGCATTGCCATATAGGCATGACAGCACAGTTCTTATAACAACAGTATTACATGTAGTCAATGTGCTATAATTTCCCAAAGGGCTCAGCGATCTTAGACTGCCAAACTTGGAATCAGGAAATTAATGCTCTACATGTATTGTTAAATGTCAGCAAACTATTGTGTATCGAAAAGTGTCTAAAACTACTTTTGCAATGCACATTAATCATAAAGAAATTTGAAAGGGACTTTGGAAAACTCTTTAGCTAGGTAATGTATAAGTTATCCATAGTCTTTCAGTTTTTCAGTTTTTCACAGACAGGGTAAATACAATTATTGCCTCTATAAGTAGATTAATCTAGCTTTAAATGATGAATTATTCATTTTGATTTTGCTTTTTAAAAGTTAAATTGCATTACATTTTTGTTTTTGTACACAAATCTATCTATCTATTTATCTATCTATCTATCTATCTATCTATCTATCTACATACATGTGCGTGTGTGTGTGTGTGTGTGTGTGTCTATACTGCATGAAAAAGAATCTGTCGTGATTCATTGGCAGCATTTTTATTAAATTACAATTTTGTGTAATCTATACCTTTGTGCCAATTCCTTGTCTTATAACAGATCTTAAGGGCAGCGATAAACGATTTCAATAGATATATTTAATAATAATAGCAATAGCAACTGGACAGGCAAAACAGCAAAGCAAAAAAGTTCTTTTTTTT